CATTCTCATAGCAGCCCTTATGCCATTCCTGTGCACCGTGTGAGAGACCTTAGTCTTAAAGGAGACCAAACCCGCGGTAATGTGGGGAGAGAGGAAAATCCTCCTAAGGGAGGCATGCAAGGGGACAGACAGGACAGCACCACCAGAGTGCTCTTCAGAACCACAGTGAGTGTCTTGGCAGAAATGGACGTCATGGGTAGGGGAGACAGGTTGGTGGGAGTTGTGCTGATCTCAAGTGGAGACACTGGGCACTTTGCGGGGGCATAGGGAACGGATAATTTGTGTTTTTTAATACTACATGTTAGCAACCTCAAGTCATCGAAAGGTAGGCTGAGAGTAGTCATACAAATGGAAGAGGCTGAGGGTAGGCAGGATGGCTAGGGTGTCTACAGACAGAGGTCTAAGCTGCTCTCAAAAGAGATGGCGCAATGACCCACTGCATGGCTCAGTTTGGTTCAAATCTAAGGGTTGGAGGAGAGGGGAAGGCAGGGTCTAGATGACGTAGGATCTCCTGGAACCTTATGAAAGGAACATCATGATACAGACCTTAATCTGATTATGTAGTTTAAATGTTCACATGTACAGGAAGGGTATTGAGGAAATCCCTGTCTGGCATAGCAGGTATAAATAATGGACACTGGTCTGTATTGTTAGGTAAATGTGAAGCTTGATAAGAGATGTGAAAAAAGGACTCTGCAAGTTTTATTTCCATCATGTCACTGCCTTCTTGTGCCCCCCCCCTTTTTTTTGCTCGAAGATTCCGATTGGGAAGAGATATCAGAATTTGCTGGTGAATTGGTTCAGGAAGCAACGTGAGGGCCCTTTTGTTCCATCCGAGGTAAGAGGGGACAGGGAGGCTACAGAGTGGGCACAAGCTGGACAGAGGGGTTGGGCTGAGCAGGGATTCCGGCCTCCTGCTGTAGTTCTCTTGCTCCTCTCACTGAAGTTTCGCTATAAGAAAATGAAAGCCTTTTTTGTTGCTGTTGGGGGTTTTTTTTTGCGGGGGGGCGTGGGGGGTGTCAAAAATTCCAGCGTTGAGTTTGCACTGAAGAATTTCAGTGCTGAGATTTGGGATGAGAGGAACAGTAACGTGCGTGTGTATCCAGGCACGGCCAGAGTTAGCTGAGGGCAGGAGGGTAGGCTATTGGGTGGTTCCTGCTTGATATTGGTTGTCAGAGGTCCTGGCATAAATCCAGCCTCTCCCGTCTTTTCTGCAGACAGCTGTCTCTGTAGACCTCTCTGATGTGTCAGAGGCCGTCCAAAGAACCTTGCAATCAAATGTCAGGGAAATTCTAGAAGCAACACAGTCTCAAATGTGTGTCTAGACGCAGACCCACTAGTGCTTCTTCACTCACCGATTGCCCCTCCACCACCTCGGTCTCAAAGCCACTGACCCCTGTCTCTATCTGCCACTGACCCCTGTCTCTATCTGTATAGGTGATCAAGGTGAAAAACGTTGATAATTCGGAAGCCCTTCATCTCC